AACTATCTCCTCAGCACGATGAGGATTTTTTCACACATGTGCTTCAGTTATATGCTTGAGCCTTACGCCTTTCCTGACCTGTGCGTTTTGAGCGCAGGAGAAAGCACTGCAAGATTCCTTCCTGCAACTGGACTAGCAAATGCAAACCTACCTGAACATTCCCCACTCCACATGTTCCCTCTTCCTCTGCAGCTCGACCCAGAGCAGCCTTTGCCCCATGCACTGTGCTGGAGTCACGACCCTCACCTAAGTCTAACAAATCCCCACTTTAAAAACTCTTGTCAGTTCTTTCCCTGTCAGGATGCCTCCCAGTCTGAGGGCGAGAGTGCTGTTAGAGGAACAGCTTCTTATTCCCTGTCACTCTTCAGGGGATCTTAGAGCTTCATCTTACCGGCTGGCAAAAGCCCTCTGCCAGACTCTTTTGGGTGGCAGCTGCTGTGTATTATGCCAACCCCCACTCCCTACCTTCTACCTAAGTCTGAAAGAACCCTTTTTCCTCTAATTCCCTCTGTGGCTTTGGCAGACTGAGGTTTAGAGAAAGGCAGGTGCCCTGAGGTTCCACAACACCTGCCTTTCTCTAAACCTCAGATTTTTTGGGCGCAGCTTCTTTTTCTTTAAGATGTTATGTCATGGGAAACTGCAGGGGTCTTTGGCCTCCAACTGAAAATAAAACTCCATTTGAACAAATAGAGTTGAACAGTCAGTCTTTGACTGTACTACGAAATGAGAATTCCAGTCCCACCCAGATGTAATTATGCAATTATTACTCAAACTTGCAGACAGGGGAACTGGCACTGTAATGCTTTGCAACACGGCCACAGACACAATGAATCAGTGACATCGACACGTTCATCTACCTTCCTTGCCCACCCACTCCAACAAATCACTTTGGGGGAAGACAGTCTTTAATAGTAAATAGGCTTTAAATATATCTAACTATAGACACAGTAGCTCAATATTATAATTTAGCTTATTGCATTATATCTTCCTACATAAGAATACTTACAGTAACTAGCACTTTTGCATTTATCCTTCTTACGGACTTTAAACTACATAGTATGTATGCTCCATTTATTTGGTGTTCTTAGACTATTTGTTACTTTTTCTTATAAGTAAAAGTAGCAAATATGTATTTCTCTCTCTAATTCTAGCTGATGTTTCAGTTGCCTTATGCTTTCTTAAGGCAAGCATCCTTCCTACAAAATAGCTGCAGCCTTGATTCAGGACAAGTCCTTTTTTACAACTGACTATTCCAAGCATGAAACTTGCTAAAAATATTCTGCCTACCCTATGTCCAACAACTATCCAGGATGATGGTTTCTGTCTCCAGATAAAATATCTCATTTGTTGTTTTCATATCCTTTGCAAAGACAAAAAAATGAGTCTCAGCTTTCAAGCTTCCCGAAAAGAAGCCTGTCTTTTATCCCAAGGCTGAACAACTGGAGCCTGAAGATGCCGTAGACAAAGAATACCAGAAATATCTGAAAACAGCTCTTGGACACTGCTCTACCATGAGCAGCAGACTTAGAAAAGCACCCAGTTACTTACAGCAAATTTACAAGGCAACCCAAAACCTACATTGAGTGCTACCAATGGGAAGGAAGCAGCAAGAGCACAAAGATTAGATACAAAAGCACTCGGATCCCCAGCACCGTCACCAACAAGCTTATCACTAGAGACCACCCATAAGACACTGTAGATGGAAAATAGAGCCTATCTATTCCCAGCTAAACAACTAAGTCAAAATAAAGATTCCAAAGAAATGAAAGGACTGTAGAACATGGTGAAAAATGGCATCTACAATCAACAGAGCAAATGATGACAAAGAGAAAAATACATCTTACAGACTTTCCCAGATCACTCATGACTCTGGCAAAGTGGCTGACGATGATCTTTCGTTTTGCAGGCTAGGCTGAGATGGCCTTTGTGCCAACCAAGGGGAAAAAGAACACCAAATCCATGATGCAAGGAAGTAACCAACAACAGGCTGGCTCCTTATCAGCTGACAGAGGTGAATCTTGTATCCTTGTTTTTAGCTGTTAATTGTGCCAAGTCCTACGACCAGGTTCTCAGTTGATGCCAGTATCAAGGGAGTTATATCTTCTTACACTAGCCAAAGTGCTGGCCACTAACTTATGGCATAAATTACAGACATATGTGATTTACACCATTTTCATTTAAACCCTGTGAAAATACAAGCCCATCCCTCTGCTTCTAAAATAATTCAAGACAGAAATAATTGATATTGGCTGATAGATATCTAGTGAAATGAAAATATTTTATACTGTCATTTCAAGTGTTTTGTTGAAAATGTGAAGAAAAATACAAGCTATCTATTAGCAAGCCAGTTCCTTTGAAAAGAAACCATTACTTTTTTATGGAGAGACAATTCAGCTGAAATGCCACAAATCTTTCAATGACAAAACCATCAGTATTATTTTTCTGACATATTTGTTGTTTAACTCAGCTCTGTGCATTGGCAGTAAAAAATATATTCATTTGTTTCACATGAAAACCTTTTAATACAGAGGTAATCTTTAGGGCAATGCTTGTCTTCAGAAAGCTGGTTAGATGATTTAGCTTTCTTAAATGAAAATTTCAGCTAGATTTAAACTCTGGATTCTACAGAAATCAGTCAGCTACTATTCTGTTAAACCTTCCTTTCCATGGAAAAGGGAAAGATGAAGTTCTGTCTTCTAAGCTCTGCTTTTTCTTTCGGTAACGAATGATACAAAGCAGACTGCATCTCCCTACCAGTGTGTTTATCCCCGTGTGCACTGAAAGCAGAGCTGAGATGAGACAGGAACTGCTTATACAGACACCGCCAACACACCATTCCCAAATAAATTAATGAGCTGAATTCAAAATTGTCTCAAGCAGTGTAATTTACTGGCTGCACCCGGTGTGAAGACAATCTCTTTGTGGGCTCTCTGGAAGGGAATCATGCTGCTAGTTTACGTGACAAGTTAGAAGACTTCTGCCAAGGGCTGTGCCCCCTCCTCCCCACCACTAATACCTTTTGGACAGAGAAAGGCTCTTTCGCAGGACAACGTAGAACTGAGTTCCGATGCACAAACTCAGCCTCTGAAATATCCGCTTCCCTCTGCTGATTAGGTGTGCAAGCCAAGCCACTCTGCCTGTTCTACCCTAAGAGCTCAAGTCCCAACAAGCATCTAATCCCACCTCTGATAAACAAGTGAAAAGGCCCTAGCCTGAAATTTATGCAATCAGGCAAGGGGAATAACCCCCTGCATCCCTGTTTCTCCTTACCTCTTTAATATTTAGCCATCTAAGGATACAAAACACACAAACAAATGAAGACTAAGGGGACTCATGCTTAAATAATATATATCAAAAGATTCAATGAAATGAAGGTTCATCTTGAATACTGGGAGATTCCGTAATTAGACAGAAAAGACGATAAAAGGCTCCCACCCCCTGGGTCTCTTTATAAAGATTAGAGAGGGAGAGACAAGTACGTGTTCAGACTAATGGAAGAATACCTTACCAGCACTTCAATCATTGCAGGGTATTTCATGTGTCCATGTCTCAGGATAAATGGGACTGTTTAAAATTGGTTAATTTCCTAGTGATCCAGGCAAGGAGGGAGATGATAAAAGAGCCCAAACCTCTCGCAGGAGGTATGAATGAGCAATTAAGTGTTAAAAATAGATAAATAAATATTTACATTCCCATATCAAAGAGTAACAAGAACAGCACTATAACACACCGTGCTAAGGCAGAGGAGAGAGATCAGCCTCCCTCGTGGAAGATACCAGTACCTGAAGGGGTGGTACCTCTTTGTGGTACAACCTGTTCCTAAAATGCACTGGATCTAGGAAAACAGTTGAGCTGTACTACTTTTCTGCATGTCTTTTAATTTGCCTGACGCTTATGCATAATGCATTAACCCTGTCTTTGAGCTACTTTCAAACAGTTCGTTCAAAAAAATTTGACCGAGTCGCTAAGGCCAGTCTCTTCTAGAGGAAGACAGAACACGTTAGTTATGTTTTTGCCCGGTCTGGTGCTGCAATGGCAAAACGAGATGGTGACCTAAAAGCCAGCCAAGCACCGCTCTCCACTGGGGTGTCCTCCCCACGGCAGCGGTCCCAGCGCCGGGCAGCGAGCGAGCGCAGCCTCAGCTCCGCAGAACCACGAACGGGCAGGTTGACATTCGCCGTGGAAAAAGCTCGTTTCAGGTAGTTACGAGACATTGCCGAGGCAGCGTTTTCCATCATGGACGTTGTGCCCTGGCTTGTTTGAACTGGTTGTTTAGTACGTTCTTTTGGTTTGTTTTGGTTTTAATTTAAGGAGGAAATTCGAGGCAAGAGTCCAGGGATTAGCATTGATAATGCTGCAGTTTGTAACAACGCTAAGGCTTTTACTGTTAGAACCCTTTGGTGCCAAGTACTACATGAAGCAGAAATTTAAAGCAAGTCCCGCCTCAAAAAGTTTGCAATCTCCTTCCTTTATTCCAAAGCAAACTGAACCAGGTGTGGGAGCCTGCTGGGAAATCCAAAAACTGTGGGCACAGACTTCACTGTGGGCTGCACCTGTGTTCGTAGGTGGAGTGCAACGAAGGCATAAAACGAGCGCTTGTAAATTATGAGAGATAACAACGCCCAGTGCCTTTGCGCCACTTAAGTCAAAGGAGTTTTGTCATTGAGATAGAAGTTTTTTAGTCACGCGATCACAGGATAACAAATAACAATAAAAGAACAGTCCAAAGAGTAGATAACGCCAGTCTTGCCATCTGCTTCCTGCTCCCTCCGTCCCTGCCACCACCTAATTCCAGTGGGAACAGAACCAGGACAGAGTGGACTTTTTCTTCTATTCACAGGCTTTACTGTTCCCCAAAGTTTTGTGCACACCCAAGTTAAAGAGAAACCAGAGGCCTAGTTTCTCAGCCCCTGGAAGTATTAAGCCTTTGTATGGTTTCCGTAGGTCTGGAGCCAGTGGTATGGGTATCAATATCCCAAATGCTATTTACGGAAGTAGTCATGAGCTGTTGTGGAAGCAAGCACCAGACTCACAATTCCTATGAGTTACCAGCTGAGAAATTAGACCATGAACAGAACTTTCTTGCTAAGACTAAGATAACGGATAATAAATCCAGCAATGGTTTTGAGGATGATGACGTCATTACATCAGACACCACTTCTGAAACCGTACAGTTTGCCCTTTCGAAGTCCTTTACCACCAACCATATTCAAAATAAAATTTCCCATTACTGGCCATTCTTTCATTCATATCCAAAAGTGATTCAAGTTCCAAACCGATCATGTCCTTCATCTCATTTATGCACTATAATGTCATTGATCTGTTTTGAGAACATTTAAACAATGTGAAGATTGATCAGATAGAAATTGCTCACATACCACATTTTTTTCCACCAGCACCACAGCATATGACAGTCTAGTATCAGTCTTGTATCAGGCAAGACCCTGAACAAGTTTTGCTACTTCAGTTAAACACATTATAAAGCGCAGTGTTGGACCTCTGGGCCTATATCTCTGTCAGGGTGAGCTGCTTTGAAGCATCTTTATGCTTTAGAACATGATTGCAGACTGCACCAGAGAATTGACTGTGCTATACGTAGAACATCAAAGACCTGAAACACGGACAAAGCATGGGGATGGTGGGGAAAAGTCATGGAGTCTCATTTTGCCTTGCAAAAGAAAAGTTTTTGCTATGTATTATACAGTGAAACCTCTTGACAGAGGAAGATCTGGAAGTGGTGTTTTCAGTTTAGTTTTATCATTCCTAGAAGGCCAAGAAGTTAAAGTTCTTCACAACTTCTAACGCTAGATACGAGCTCTGACATTCTCCTCCACAAATAGCCCAGCAGCACTTACTAGTTAGGCAGATCCCATTAACTTTGTACTGAAAAAAAAATTATTATCCCCTACAGATTCACCAGCTTTTGAGCCCTGGGGTCTGAGAATAAGTAACAGAATGATTGCAAGCCTGATGTGATTAGTTACCAATTTGAAGCAGGGTGTTTCCCATTCCTCCCCCTTCAGTTATTGTCACCACAGTTTATGTGTGCCATTCCACTTTGTAGCTGCCTCTCAGGGGGACCTCAGAGCTGTCAGAGCTGTCACATCCCGGGCTTGTCAAAATTCCTACAGGCTTTAACAGTTGAAATAATATCTATTTCAATATACGGTGTATGGCTAACACTTTTTAGGAGGCTCTTCTTGCCCTTCTCCCTTTGTACCTCCACACCTCTCTAGACCTTGCAGTCTATCAGAATCTCCCATAGCCACCCCCAGCTTTCCATCTGAATAGCTGGAATGATTTGTGCTCAGCTTTGGGCAGAACTGAGACTCACCTAGACAAGATATCTGAGAAAGTCCTGCGAAGCAGAGGCCTGTCAGGTGAGAGAATGCCATTTAGCATTGACAGACTAGGGCTGGTTGGAGTGTATTTTATTATATTTCCACTTAATCTACCATGGTACCTGCCACCACGTTACATTAGCAATAATTTCTGAATTGTTTTCAGACAATGCCCCTAGTGATGGCTACAAAACCAATTGAAGCGGTCCCTTACCTTACAGTATTTTCTTCCGTAACAGCTGTCTTTCTGGATGTGGATTTTATGAGGAAGGTCCCAGATCATCTGAAGTTTCTCCATTTCCAATTTTGCAGCTACTTCTACCAACTCTGAAGCAGAGCTTGACAAAGCCAAGTCTAATGAGAAGAGAACACAGGGTAAGGCATGCCCTCAAGAAAAACAGCCAGAAGAAAAGATACCAAAAGTACCAATGGGACAAGGACCATATTTTTATATCAGCGGATCTAATGGAGCTGGGCTGTAAGTAGGTCCTCTCAGCAGACTGACAGGTACAGTAGTATAACCATATATGAAGTCATGCAATGTTATCCATTGGCCTCAAATAATTTTCCTTTGATTTGCTGGCTTTTTGGAGTGGTACACCTGGGAAACTGTTTAAAGGTAAATTAAATAGAAAGTATCCACTGGAAGGCCACCAGTGGTAAAGAAGCCGTCTACTATATCTTTGCAAAGTAACAAAATACTTGTATTTGCTTACTGAAAGTTTCTCTGGTTCTTCATCAGTAGAGCTAGGAACCACTGTTGTTGATCAACGTTCTGGCGTGCTAAATGTAAAACAAGCGAAAAGTAAGAGATTTCTGCCCAAGAAAAATTGTCAGATCAGAAGTTCCATTCATTCCTTTCTGAATTCTTTCCAGCACATTGGCATTCTTCTCTAGAAGTTGTCACCAGCAAGCATCACAGAATCTCTGCAGCAAATAGCACTTTCCTTGCTATCTTTTCATAGTTTTGTCTACAAACAGCTTTTTCTAGTGCTACTTGTCATCTCTCCCTAAACTCCTCAGGGGAGAGGCTCCTTATTAAGACTGGACCCTGAACATTTCCATTCCATGGGTACCAGTTGCATCCTAATTGGAAAAGCCCTGCTGAAATGGTAAAAGTTCTCATTAGAGCTGCTGAATCATAATGCTCTTAGCATCCTCAGTTACTCCCCCCACCCTCTCAAGTTCACACCAGCAGGTCCACTAGGGCCATTCTAATTAATGCTTCCCATCTTATCCCCCACCCAGGGGTTTCTGGGCATGTTAGGTCAGGCTCCCAGAGAAAATTATTAGGAGTTCAAGGGATATGAGCTAACAATTTGTTAATAGAAGGGAGGCTACTTTTCTATTTTGTTTTCCTTATGCAGTGTGAGCATCTATTGCCAGAGTAGAGGCTGGCAGCGTATCTATGACAACGGAAGAGAGGATTATGCACTGAAATGGTGTGAAATCAAGTGCCGAGAGACCTATTACCATTTCAAAGAAGGTAGAGATGCCTGTGGGCCTTGAGTGGGAGAGGGTGGTGGGAAAAACTTGAGAATGCTGGACTTGTGACTCCCAGGACAGAGGAGGTCACTTGGGGGTAGGGGAAACAGGTAACCTCAACTTCTTGGCAGACCTCAGAGGGGACATCAGAGCTGGTTTGCCGTGGTGATGAAAGAAAGGGCTTTAGACAAGAAAACAGCTTTGGGAGAAAAGATACCATTGAAATGAACTTAGTGAAATGAGCAGTACAGAGATTTAAACACCACGCTCCCCACAGTGGAGGTGAGGAGAGGAGAAAAGGAAGGGTGCACTTACAGAGAGAAGTAAAGTAAGCTCAAGATGGGTCACCCCACAAAACCCAGGCCCAGCTATCTCTATCTAGGGAGAAAAGAGTCACTAAAAGCCAAACTACTCCACTGTCTCAGCAAGCAACTTTCTGAACTGCACTCTCATCAGTGCATCCTGACTTCACAGGGTCCAGCCAGCTTTCCCACCAGAAAAGCATAAAATCAAGGACTCCCACAACAATGCCTCTGGCTGGCACCCTCAGAGAGGTACTTTGCATAACAAACAAAAAACTCCCTAAGCACAGCCCCTGAGGCAATTCCTTTACTTCTGGGAGCTGGTCAAGACCTGTGCCCTGGCAAGCCTGAGCATCACGGCACAGAGCTGCGGGCTTTCCTGTGGCCAAGGCATTGTGTTATCGCTTCCCTACCAGTCCACGTACAGCAGCTGCCTTTCCCCTCCTGCCAGCTCTGATGGCAATTTGGTGGCTATTTGTCAGGCTGTACCATTACAGCAGTCGGTCTAATATACAGCGGTGCAGATAGGCTACATTTCAATGCAATTCTGCAGCTGGAATGGTACGATGGCAGTGACACCTCTGGAGTGAGCAAGGGATGCACAATTTCATGAAGTCCCATCGGGACTGTTTGTTCCACTACGACGTTGGACAGAAATACATTTACAGCAAGTGTTTTCACTGCTCTGTGAGTTGTCACTACTGCCTTAAAGCAAATTGGTGAAAGTCAACAGTGACAAAGTCAGCTTCATCCTCCACATTCTGCTGCATGGGACAATGAGGGTAAGCGCTTTTTTGTTTTCTCATACAGGTGAACAGCTTCTCTACCAGATTCCCAACAACGGGGTCCTTACCAGTAAGATAGGGCTTTTATGCTGCCTGAGAGAGCAACAGCGGATGATCAAAAGGATCAGTAGGAGCTCTAATTCCAAGTAAGAACTCTCACCTCTTTGAACCTTGACCAGAAACACGCCAACAGAAAGTGAGAACACATAAACAAAGAACCAGTTTCTTCCGGATGCATAACAGTACAGGATACAAAGTATATGGGGTTTTATTTCTTTCTTATCTTCTAGAAAAATCACTTTTTTCCCCGAAGTATATACATCAGAGAGAATTTCTTCTTTCTCTGTGTCTGGAGTTGTAGGAGTGCCAGGTCCCCCAAAGACAACAGTCATAGTAATTCCTCTGTTTTGGGTACATCGTCCTGCTGGAAAGGCCACAACTTCCTGTGCCATAGACACTGTAAATGTAAGAGAAGCTTATTGCCATTTCTGCTCCTTTATTTTTCACCTACCAAAAAACCAAGTGACAATCCTGTACCACGGTTACCTGCAGCCATCTCAACTAGTTTTCAAAAAACTGAGCATAAGAAGAATGCCTTAAGGCTAACATATATTCTTGAAAGCTTATGGAATGAGGTAGCTCAGGAAAAACATATACAAACACACAACTGTTCACAAGCAGGAAAAAAAAGCCATTTCTTAAGTTTCTACTTGCAGCCATCCTTTCTGAAAGTAACAGAGGAATGAACATCTTGGATAGGGTTTTCAATTTCTATTTGATTCTCCTGTAGGTTACTGAAGATGGAAGAATTCTTCCCAGAATCTTTTCGCCTGGACTTAACAGATGAGAGAAATGCTTTTTTTGAGCTTTACAAAGGTGAATTATCTTAATCATCATGGCAATCAATTTAAATAGCTGTGTGATCCTCTGAAATGTTCATAAAAGTATACACAGTAATAATAATTGATATCTATACGTACGTATAAACACACATATATACACACATGTTCAAGGGAGCAGTTTTCAGAGCCCACTAGCGGGCACATCGGTGTTTCATACCACACACATTACTATAACAGACTCATTCTTCTCTCTGCAGAAGAACAGATTTGGATCTGCAAACCAAGTTGCTCTAACCAAGGTCGAGGAATCTTCCTGCTTAAAAATCCAGCTGCTGTCAACACCCTTCGAGCCAAGCTCCACAGCACTGAGGAATACCTACTCAATAAGAGGGTGCCATACAAGGCTCCCCAGGCAAGAATAGTGCAAAGGTAGAGACTGAAGCCTGGGAATTCATGTGTGAGTAGTGTGCTTGATTAAGGACACTGGCCTCAGAGAGCTGAATTGTTCCACAGGTATTTAATGTGGTTACACCACATCTCATCAACCTATGAGATTTCATTTTGTGGGAGAGAGGCTATTTCTCTGGTTAGTCTGTCTTGCATCCGCACTTAAGTCATTTCAAGGTAGATCTTTGTCATCAGAGAGATTTGAGTTTACCTTTGTCTGGTAATTTAAGAATGACTTCAAAAGCCCTGATGCTACAGTTCTGTACGTGAGTTCTACACATAAAGCCTTGTGCAAAGCAATTTAAATTAGCTATTATCCCAGCTTCTTATACAAAGCTAGCATTTTACAAATCATACAGCTGCAATACCTGCTCCATGCAACCCAAGAAAGCCTTCCAAGTATCTTCTTAACTCTGCCTCAATGCTGCAGATGTCTAGACCTCAATCAACAGGCAGTGGCTAGCAGTCACTGAAATTTTGGGTTGGGGTTGTTTTATTTTTTATTCCTTGCATGAATAAATGAACCATGCAAGTTCTTCTTTGTAGAACATATACCCTCTCAGCCATTGCTAGAACATTTTGTAGAGGAGTAGAACAGCAGAAAAAGGAAGAGAAAAATACAGCAGCAGAAGCCACGAGAACAGTTTCAGCTACTGAACGTTACTTGCTTACTGTTACACAACTCGCTTAACTTCCCTTTGCCTCAGTGTCCCTCCCTCAATTGAGGAATGCATTATAATTAAATCAATTCAGTGCTTTGAGATGAATGAATAGAACTTTCAAAGAGAAATGCAAAAAAGATGTTTTCATTATTTATCCTAGGAGCTGCAGTTCCCAGATGCCTTTGATCCTGCCTTTGGTGTACACAGCTAGGCATACAGGGCACTCTAAACTTCACGGTGCCCACACATGCATGACTTCGCCTGGCATTGTCATGACATGCCAGCAATGACAACGTGATACACTCGTGACAATGCTGTAGCATTGGCATAGCAAAAGCACATTTTGCCATGTAGTGATCACTGCGTGTCCTGGCAAAGTGGTGATACCAATTCCTCACACTGACCCTCTGCCACTTCCCTGACATTCTGCTATCATGGCTTGGCATCTTTATGCTGCAAGAGAACACAGCACACAGCAACCTTTCCAAGAGCTTCCTTAGCCAAAGCAAGCAATAGTCTCTGCTTACGTTCATCCAAACATGTCTTTTCATAACAAAGGAATAGTTGGCCTCATTGAAAAGGGTAAGAGAGATTTGTAAAATGCTAAACTAGAATGATGGTCTTACAGGCTTTCTGAAATAGGCTGGACTGTGTTTATGCAGCAGCCAGTATATGGAGCAAAACAACGACTGCCTGACAAAATCAGACCAAGAGCCTTAGTTAGACCAATATGTGGTCTTTGACATGGACAAGCAGCAGTGCCAGGGGCAGAAGTGGTTGGGCCCTATCTTAGACCTCATCTTGATTTCTGTTAGTGAGGAATGGCTTATACTCTGAAGAATGAGGCTCCATATTCCTTTGGAAACTGTTGTTATAGCATTGATTGTTTTAACAGCACAGCCTTGTTATTTATGTAGACATCCCGCAATCTTTGATGATAAAGGGAAACAGTTCCCAGATTACACCACTCTGGAATAAAAGCAGTGGTTCTGTATGAAGGGCTCTTTGTGTTCAGACATAAACTGCGTATATTCTCCAGTAAATATTAGTAAATCTTTAATTATCTCCTGCTCCCGACACTCCCACAGCTTCTATTCCTCTTGAAAAAAGCTGTTTCTAGCATTTCCAGCCTCTCCTCCAGGCATCCTCTGCTGCCACTCCCCTTAAAACCAGTGGTGGAAAAGGGACAAAGAGGTTCATTAGTTCTGTGGTGAGAAACGAACTGGCTGGGGGGGGTTGTGTGAGCTTTGAATTGCCATGTATTATGGCTGCCTGTTCATGACGCGTGTTGAAATACTGCTCTCACAGGTATATTCACCAGCCTCTGCTCCTGGAAGGGAAGAAGTTTGATGTCCGGTCTTATCTCCTCATTGCCTGCACAGCACCATACGTGTTATTTTTTGCCCAAGGTTACATCAGGTTGACCTGTGTCAATTATGATGCCGCTTCTGATGATCTGACTGTGCATCTGACCAATCAGGTAAACTAAGGTCACTTAGTTCAGAAGAAGGGGAGGGTGTGGTTGACAGAGATAGGAAGCAAAAAAGACTTTTGAAAGGCTAAAAATAAATGCCTCATGCATGCAAAATCCCTGCAGCCAGGAAACGGACATGGGCTTACGGTCAGGCATGGCAACAAGGCTGAGCAGAAGCAGTACCAGATCAGGTTCTGTTCTCTGCCATGGACGAGTTCTCTGCTTAACCGGACAATTTCTCTGCCTGGGCCTCTTTTTCCTGCCACTGTTCTCTCATGTATCTGTAAACCATAAGCTTCTTAGGGCAAGAAGCCTTTGATTGCAGCTACCTAGCACAAAGGAGCCTTAATCTTGGCTAAGGATTTTGCTGATCCTGTTGTGCTTAAATACAATAATCACAATGATGTAAGATGCAGATGTGTTCTTCAAGAGTCATCATCCTTAAATCTCCATCTTTCCTCGTCTTGCTTCTCAAATGAGAGCTCTAACAGAACGAGACTGTTCTGGCTTGTACCCCCATACATCTCTTGTCATACAAAATAGAAGCCTTCCTTGCTCAGATCTACCTGAGTTTTCACTTCAAATGAGGCCCTTCAGTAGTTAGAACTGGCCCTGATGAAAGAGAATTGAAAGAATCAGAGGGAAGACAACAGTTTCCTTTTAAAGCCCTTCTCCCAGAGTCATGCTGTGTTCTGAGAACTAGCAAAATACACATTAGAGAGGTATCAGACAAGCCCACTTCAGCTGAAGTTTTACAGTTCCTGTAGAAGTGCAGTTCAGGACAGCAGATCGTAGCTGCTTCCTGCAATATATGGTATTATCAGTATGCCACTTGTTTTCCTGGAATAGTTTGTTTGCTCAGCTAAGAGAGCTATCCTCAGGGGAATTCAGGTGCTGGGGTAGGATCCCATGGCACGAGTGATACTAAACAAAGGACAGGTGTTTATAAGCAGAACATAAATTATCTGGGTTCCTGCTGGGAGGAGGGAAATGAAATTTACAGGAGCAGCTGGTAATAGGGCAGACTTCTCCAAATTACAGTTGATTCTGCTCTCATTCCCTTCCTATCCTTTCATTCCACCTGGAATCAGCCATTTTCCGACTGTATTTCCAAAAGACAAGAGGCAGCAGAGACAGCATCACTAACCAAAAGCTTTGCAACCTCACAGTAACCGTCCCGCAGATGGAGTTGCAGCCAAGGCCAGCTGTTTCACAGATAAAGGGGACTTGCCTTTGATCGAACAATGTAAATACCCCAGCACTGATAAACTCCACCTGCCACAGGGATTAATGAGACAGCGGAATAGAGAAGCCCTCACCTTGGTTTCCTCTGTGGATACATCCATCCATCCATCTCTCCCAGATGTACTCTCCTCTAGGACAGTACTAGGCAGACAGACACTGAAACCGGATTTAGTCCGAAGCACATCATGACTATGACTCAAAAACAAACACTGCTTTGACAGAGACCTTGGGTAATTGTCTCTACAGCGTCCATGTGGGTCAGGCATATTTCTGCCTGTGGCAGTGCTGTACAATGGGAGTTGGGACATTTGCTCAGGTTTAGCTCTGCTAGTGAGGGGCTCTATTCCCTCCACCTCTATAACTTGATCCTGGGGTCCTTCCCAACTCCAGATGCCTGGAACAACTCAGGGTAGCTGACTGTCTGCCATGTAAACTGGCTCCCAGTTACTCTTCACTGCCAGAAATCTAATCCTCCCTTTGCTCTGTTTCCCCACCTCACAGTACATGCAGAAGAAGAACTCCCTGTACAGCCAGCTGAAAGATGAGACAGTTTGGCGGATGGAGCACTTCAACAGCTACGTTAATGAGAAGTTCAGAAAAACCAATGGCCTCCCCAAAGACTGGGTTTTCACTGTGTTTACTGTAAGTGCAAGCAAGTGTATGGTGTGCTAGTCTGCCTAATTAGGGTGACAGGAATAGGGAGAAAACCCATCAGTTCACTGGAGCTCCCAAGGACACACATACGCTGCGTAAGAAGGTATTGATGGTCCCACGGTAACTGTTTATCTGCAGATGCTAAACACAGAAGTGAAGACACAAAGAAGTGTAATTTTAATAAAATGGGCAAACAGCTGGGAAAGAGAATGTGAATGTAAATGCTAGCTATAAAAATGCAATTATAGTCTTCACATTCCTGGCCCAATGCTGTGGCCCTGCATTAAAAAATACAGTACACATTAGAGAGCTCTCCAGCCTGACAGGTCTTAGCCTGAAAAGGGACTAAACCACTTTCAGTGGTTTCTTTCCTGTCTGAATTGGTCTCATCATTCACTTTCCATCTGATTTTGCCACATGAAAATCATGTCGGGGCCTTAGATCTTGTGTTACCATGGAGGAGAGATAAGACAACTCAACTGGCTTGATTTCTTACCATCTTCCTGTCTCACTGAAGAAACAAAGAAACTATCTGAGTCCCTGAGACTTCCATTTCATCTGCCTGAGTCTAATGATGCTTCAGTTCTCCACATGACTTGAAAATGAAAAAGGCAGAGGACACAGCTTTCTCAGGTTAATTTTGGAAACACTGTAGTTTAAAGCCAAATACAAAGAGAATTTAAAAGCTAAAAACTTTGTTGAACTATGTTTTTGTTCAGCAAAACAGCTCAAAAGCAGATCTAGTTGAATTTGCCAAATTTCTCAGGGGATCCGAAACTTTTCAGCCAACTTTATGGTCTCTCTCTTCATGCTGAAGTTCCCCACTGCGCATTTCAACTCCAAATTGAGTGGAACTTTGCCTCACCTACTGCAAGCACTGTACCACAGCGGTCTGGAGAACCATGTTCAAGAGGGGGTTTCAAACAAGGCAAAGTGGACAGACACATGGTCTGCAAAATGCAACACTCTTCCAAGTCTAGAGAGGAGCTCTGCTGGAGGCAGGGGAAGGAAAAAGGTCCCTAAACCAAGAGGACACCTATGACTTGCAGTGACTCCTATGCCCTTGGCATTCACAATGATCAGTTACCACCACTCCCTGTCTTCTCTTTCAGAAAAGGATGCAGCAGATCATGTTGCAGTGCTTCCTGGCAGCCAAGCACAAACTGGATTGCAAACTGGGCTACTTTGACCTCATCGGCTGTGACTTTTTAATTGATGAAAACTTTAAGGTACGAATACATATCATCAAATACCAAGTACAATATTGGCCAGATGTCCAATGCCAGCAGTATAGCATGGTTGACACAGGCTCTGGTGCTAGGAATTAAATAGAGCAGTCAGTCAGCTATGAAGTGCAGGATTCATTTTTTTCCTCCAGTTCCATTGTCCAGCACCAAGACATGGCACAGATACTGCCTGCACACTTACTGCACAGAGAAACCCTGGCATTAACAGCTTAGGATGGGAAGAAAAATACTACTTACTACAGATGAAACTGTTCTGCGCAGAATTTTCACAGGGAAGTGGAGGTCATAGTGAAAAGCGTGGGAATTTTAATGCCCACTCGGTCTTTTCTTTCTCCAGAAACCAAACATGCCAGATGATCAGCTAGCATAAATCACTCTGTAATGCCTCTAACATCACATGAAGTATACTGATTTACACTAGCTAAGTGACCATCAAAGGTGATAAAGAACTCGTCCTCACCATACTGAAGAATGAGTCATTATCAATTCAGATTTCAGCATCAGCATCTCCATGTTCACTGTAGATTCACCATTTTGCAATAGGTCAGCCCACTGAGTCTATAAAATCTACTAGAATTACAACGCAAACTTGTAAAGAGTGAATGAAACACAGATGAGAAAAGCCAGAAGAAAGGGAAAGGGAAATGTTAAATACAGTGATCGAGGTGCTTTCAATGCAGCACTGTCCTTCAAAAGCACCTGGCCTAAACATAACAGAAAGCCATCTGGCAGATTCTACTGTTGCTAAAGCAGAAAGGAACTCAAACATATTCCAGCAAAGGACAGCAAGAACAGCAAACCCTATGAAAGAATAGAATTAATGTATGCAGCAGTGGGTAAGGCACCTGAACAATAGACTCCTTTGTACAGGAAGTCAATGGCAAGGGAGAATAAATGGCAAAGACATAGAAACTGGTGCTTCTCAAATTTCAGTGTGAATTGTCTTTTGCAACGTTGGCATGCAAAGCCCTGGCTGTGTAAACTTTAAGTAGAATAGAAGATCCAGTATCACTCTATTGTGGCAATTCCTACTTGGCTAGTTAAGAACTACAGCGTTTAAAGACAATTACATCCCCATGTATTTTACATCTGGAGAGATAAACAAAATCTGTTTCTTGACAAGTATTATCTATGAGAATGATGAGGATTTCTGAACACGTAGTGGTGACAGAGTGAGTTGGAACCTGGAACTACCCTTTGAGAGAGAGTAATGTGGAAATTTAGGCATTTGTCTAGCATAGATTTGTTCATGTTTTCTTGGCCCTGCTGGGGAGCAACAAACCTACTTTTTTATTGGTGCAGTGCTGCATCAAGAGACGCCTGTACACTCCCTGCAGAGGCAGTGTACAGCAGCTGGACGCAGCACTGACAGCTTCAAACCACAGTTAGCACTGGTCAGTGCAGCAAACTCCCCGTTTTCTGTGGGCTGACATTACAGTTCCTGGTCTGACATCCTGTCCTCTCCACCTGTAATACACGACAGCCTTATTCTCCTTGTCATCCTATTTCACGACATGTGTAGAATCTGCTTTATGCCGATTTAACATGGTCTTATATGATCAGTCCTATAGCTCATCATGCCTTGCCCTCCTCTTTATTTATCTGAGATATAAATGACCCTAGCATCATTCCTAAAAATTCTTGAAGGCCCTGTAGCATCCTGATTCAGTCTTTGGAAGGTGTCTTTCCTGCCTCAGAGTTCTTAGAAGCATAGACTATGAAAGCAGGCCCTGCTGAGAAACCACAGCTTTCTGTAGAGCTTTGCATCTTCATATGTAAGCTGAGAAAAGAATGAAGTACTTTAAGAGGAGAGGGAGCAAAAGTGACGGATGTGGTTTTGCTGTTGTTGGCTTTTTTCCTACTGTTTTCTAGAGCTTCCTTGTGCTGCATTGTAAATGCCTAAGTCACTACAGAGCTTAGGACAGTGTCATTTAAATGCTCAAGGAACCTGCTTTCAGAAAGCATTGCATCAGCCGTGTGAAAGGGCTTCTCTCGAGGTATGCTGGGAAGACAGATGTGTAAATTTTTTATCAGCCATAAAGGGATTCAGCTACCTATCAGTAAAGAACAGACTGAACATAGATAAGCCGTTTGCCAGTTTGTGATAGATGTACATAAATGAAGATAACACTCAAATCCCTAGTTAAAGCAGGGACGGTTCCTTTGATTTGAATGACATAGCTTTTCATTCACCCTGGGAGTATGAGGTGCCACAAGGATACTGTAGACTTGGTTATGCCCACCCCAGGTCATGATGATTAAAAAAATCTGATAAAAGCTTGTTAAGACTGTGGAAAACAGAACCCCACTGCCTTAGCCTGTGGTCTCCACTAACGCTAAGCAGGTCCCTTTCTGGGTTGGCTACATCTAAGTAGCCCTTCCAGTGCTTGGTTTGTGACTGCGCATGTGGCTTCAGCTATGTCCATACAGGATACAGAATGAGTTATTTTATTCCTATTTCCGACTGGTATTTCAGTGCTGCTTAAAGCTCCAGCCAGCGGTCAGGCTTCCTAGAGACCTCCTGCTACACAAATGCAGGACAAGACAGCCCTGCTGTGGATAGCTTTGGGCTTTGAAGCACATTACAGCCATCCTCTCTAAGAACAAGTGTGATGCAGAGAGACGTACACATTCCTATTCAGTCTTGGCTATCAAGTCACTTGGAGCCTTGGAGCGTGGACCAATGCCCTCTCCGTCCCTGAGACCCCAGCAGGATGTTTATTTAGCTTCTACCCGGTGAGCTCCAGCAAAGACCCACACAATTAGCTTAACTAAATGTTTTTTCATCAGAAACAGAACAAAATTCTGGCTCAATCATGCATTTCCTGCACACCAAGTAGTCTTACCTCTGCCATGTCAGCAAGCAAAGGACCCTTGAGACAGGTCTTACGCTGTCTGTTAGCCACCATGTCAACACGCAACAGAGCCTAGTCTCATCAACCAATGCTCCTTTGAAAGACTGAACTGCTGCTGTAAGGATGGTTCTACAGCAATGCGACTACCATAGTAATCAAACTAGGTGAAAACAAAAAGTATTCAGCAGATGCTAACACTGCATCTAGCACTATACAAAGAACAAGAAATGAGACCTCAGATCCTGGTGTAATGCAGGATCTGGCTGCATTCGGCATGTTGTTCAAGAACCTATGGACAAATCCCAATATTTAAAGTTTTTAAGCCTACCTGTGATGTCTTGACAGAGCAAGTTTAAGATGTGACAGAATGTGGAGTTGTCCTGGCAGGCTGCAGGGAACAGTAACCTCTTCATCCCTGAGAAACATCCTGAGCAGCATTTCTGACCAAAGCCACAGGGAACTCATTGTTCTCAGCACTTGAAAAGCCTAGAGAAAAAGGACAGTCCACGGTTAGAAAGTGAAGGACAGACATTCTGGGTTTTGGTTTCCTTTCTTTGTATGTTTGCTAGGAAATTTTGAGCAAGGCACCTGCAGGCCATATGCAGGGATAAGCACAGGCATTTCATTCTGCATGAAATTCCCATGACAGTTATGGATATTCACAGAGATATGGTGAATCTTGGCCTTATTCTCTCTGCTCCTCCTGAAATACAACAAAGGGCATTTGTTAACTTGCCCTGGTTGTTGAGAGGTTAAGAGCATTTAAAAACTGTGAGACATTCAGACAGTACAATAATGGAGAATATAGAAGATGAACAGCATGATAGGTATCACAGAGAACTTTCTTCCTCCTGTTTGTCAGTTTTCTTTGTTTTGAAGGAGAAGAAACCAAAACCTAATCAAGACAACTATAAAGGTTCATTAAGTTTGTCTGTCAGCACAAAATCTTATGAACTTTTAAGAGGAAGAACACTTACAGAGAAGAATGAGTTTGCCAGGAAAAATGTATGTAACTTAGGTGCCCTCTGTTGGCATCTGCAAAGAAGGTTTTTTTGAGCAGCTGTTCCAGGTCTCCACTGGGGGGGAAAAAAAAAAAAAAAAAAGACATTTCAGTGCCCTCACTTACCAGTCCCTTAATTTGTTTAATAAAGTATTTCAAATAAGTGAAAATTATTGTTTTATTTTATTCTTAGCAAAATAAATTGCCAAAGTGAAAGGTACTTGCAAGCAAACTCATTGCCACTTCAGAAAAAAAAAATTATTTTTAAAAATAAATTTAAAGGGAGTAAAATTCCCCTGGGGCTGTTACATGATTAAATATCCTTCATTACAAAATGCCAAATAGTTCCTACATGTGTTATATACAGAATGCAGCACCATATGGTGGAGGCAGGAAGCGAATAGATGAGTTTCTCTCACTACAGGGAGAAGAAATAGAAAATAGAATTACTTGCAAGTCAATTGTTTGGTTTCACACAGATTTGTAACTGGACCATCATGTTCTGTGGCTTGTAGCTTCACACCTTGGCATTTCGAAGGGAAATGGAGATGAGACTAGTATAAATATGTAAAATTAGTATCTTACATGGCTTCTACCTGAAACTAAAGCTTACCCAGGAAATCAAGGCCAAGGGTTCATTGAAAACCCAGTACAATGTTTGCTTAGTTTTGATCCCATGTCTACCTCAAATCAAAATGATTCCTAGATTCCTTATAACTTTATTTCATGGTATCCAAAAAAACTCAACTAGAAACTGTTATGGAAACTGGTACATTAGGAAACACAGTGCCTTTACACGCCTATAGAGCAAGAGTTAATCTAAAGAGCATCAGCTGGGGACACAAAATAATATGTAGTGTTCTCAAGTAAGTAAGTGTATGCAAAAAGGGATTTTGTTTAATTCATCCAGTCCTTATGAAAATTCTGTCCTGCCTGCATTCTGTGTTATGGGATTTTGCTGGGATTTATTAGCACTCCTACCTCTCAAGGTGTTCACTAAGTCAGTAAAAGGGCATTGCTCTGACTCTAAGGAGATCCAGCCTAGTTTCCTGATTGGCATTCATCTTTCCCAGGTCTGGCTTCTGGAGATGAATGCAAACCCAGCATTGCATACTAACTGCAAAGCCTTGAGAGACATCATCCCAGCTGTAGTCTATGAGAGTCTCGGTAAGTGAACAAGTCATAGGGCGGCCAGCAGCAGATAATCGTATCACCCCGTTGCTTGTCAGAGGAAAGACTCCTGTTTATATCAGATGTAGGTCCAAAACAATCTTTGAATAAAGCTATCTCACTGCTGAGTTTATAAGCAATTTAGAAGACACTGAAAATTCTAATCCACGCAGACCTGCAAAAGCTATGGTCTTTTTAGCCACGCACCCATTACAAAGAAATAAGTGGTTAAATTTGTTTTAGTTACAATTATTTTTAAGGATGTTTTCTCATATATTTATGTACAAAAGGCTAAATCTTAACATCTGTCCCTATAAACTGCACCTGCACATTTTTCTCATGCCTGTTGTTCCGAATGTGCAGGAATTTAAGTTGGTTTGTACAATATGCCTTACACAGCTGTGGCAGTGCTTAAATGCCAGAGTACCCCACTGTACTTCACACATATAGCTGGCAACTGTTATGTGAACTATACAAAGACTGAAAAAATCCTTATAGTCTGATATACATTAACTAGAACTGCTCCTGCCTGGGGGACCCGATTCTCTGTGATATCACGGTATCTGCAAGGAGAAGTAGTAAAGGGGGAGTCTATGTCTGCATGAAGGGTATGAGCAATAGCCTCCTTATGCTTACTGTCATAGATAGTTACCCTTCTGTGCATATGTATGTTTATTTTGGGATGTATTCATATCCTGTGTTGCACTGTAAGCAGTTTTACGGTATTTTTCCTAACAATTTCCTAAAATGTTTCCAGTGGAGCTGAAGCTGGCTGAAGTGAATGCAAGAAAAGTAGGGGGTGTTATTTTTTTTTTTTTTAAATTGTCTTAACAGTAATAGGCCACAGATCACAGGTTGAAAATCACTCCCCCTCCCCACTCCTCATCCTTCCCATGCACACAGCTGCTTTGTGCATACACATGACAGTTTGGGTCTATTTTAGGATCAGAGTGTTTAGACCATCTCACAACTGCATCTTCTTTTCCAGATTTGGTTCTTGAGGTTTTCAACAAGCGCCTCAAAGGCCAGGGTGTTTTGCCTTTAGAGACACTCTGCCGTTTTGTGCTTCTCTACCATGAGGATGCTGCACACCTTGGCCAGAAACAGCCCTCGAAGCTCAGAACTGGCCTGCGTACAGGCCAGTATCTGCGGCCACACACAGGCGGTACCAGCCACTTCGGTCACAGCCCTGCCAAGGTGCTGGAGAACTCTTCCAAGAAGCCTGGTTGCTCTAGAAAAAAGGTTGCCTTGTTGCCCAGAAAGAATTGTCAACAAACTCCTAACTATACCACACCTGCAACTCTCCGACCATCATGGAAAAACCCTCTGAACCATCACAGAGCAAGAGGGTTTCCACAAGTTCAGAAGACATAAAAAGAAAATAAAAGCTAAACTTGTATGTGCTGTGCATGTCCAGCTCATTGTCACCTTATATAAACAAGCAGGTATCAACCTCAACTGGAAAATCAGTAACTATTTTTATAAGTACTTCGCTCTTTTTGCAGAAAGTAATACTTTAACCAGCCAGCCAGAAATTATAGGAAGGTTAAGGAAGATGAGACAACTGTTACCCCATTAAAACTCATCCCCTTTAAAAACAATGTTGATCTGACCAGTGCAATCCAGAAACAGGCCAAACTTTTTACATACAAAGTCCTTATACAAAAAAGGCAGGGAGAGAAGCTGCAAAGGCTAAAACTAAGGCTTAACAGTGGAAATCCCCCAGTTCGCCCCATCATTCACAGCTGTACATGCAGCTACCTCACTCATTAGATCCTCTGTGCCTTGCACATTTAACCTCATTATATTCAGACTCAATTTTCCATTTGGTTGAGGTGACAGCCAAGCAGCAGCACACACTTATCATATCAGGTCACCATCTGAGCAGGAAACAATGACGCTTGGGGGACCAAGGAGACGGGGAGGAAGGCAGAGAGGTTTAAAACCAACAGGAAATGCTTTTACATCTCAGATGCTGCTGCCTCTAACCCAAGAGGAATTTAAATGAGCAGTAAGCTGAAGGGTACGTGCGTGTTTCCTTCCCCTCCTATGCTTACTCTAACTGACTGTAGTTCGGGCACGTTCATGTCATCCTGCGACTGCAGCATCAGTTTGAAGCAAGCATCTGTGGACAGGGGAGCCAGTGACCAAGCATGGGATGCTGCAACCCAAGTGCCAGGCGGGCTGGGTCTGCAGGAACAGGCCAGGAGGAGGGGGAGCTGCTGAAGCCAGGCAGGAGCAGGTAGGTAGCAATGTGGGGGGGCATGTGAATCAGCACCACTCAAACAGAAAGACATTTGGTGCTTGAGACTGAAACTCAATGGCTGTATTTGCTTTCCAAACATGACTCCGCTAAAGGAAGAGCTTTCTCTTCTTCCCCTTTTCTAGCCAGAATTTACAGTAACGCTAAGTGTCAGATTCATCTAGTCTTCTAACTAAACCGCTTACTTCTCCTCAATATGTCCCCCATCAAGGTGTCGCAGTCTTTTAAGAGACGCGGTCAGCATTTGAGAAACCGAAGGTGGAAGCATACCTTCCTGCCGTGGATGTAACTCTCTGTTTTGGGCAGGCAATCGCAACTAACTCCTGGGACTCTGGCAAGCACTGCTCATGTTTTGTCAGAAATACATGTTTTCAATCAGACTGTCACATGTCAGAGACAAATCGGAGGCATGAAAAGCAGCTCAGGAGGACTTTAGTCCTGCTTCTACCTCTGGAGCAGCCTCAGCTCTTCCTAAATCTTGCGTGACAGATGCTTGTCTAGCCTGTCCTTGAAAACCTCCAGTGATGTAAGTTCTGCAATATCCCAGGCAAGCCACTGTTTCTTCCTAATAGCTAACCTTTAATGCAGGTAAGGCCATTGTCTCTATCTCACATACCTCTTTCTAGTGGTCTTTTACATATGTGAAGACTGTTACCATACCACCTCAGTATTCTTTACTTTAGGCCAAGTGTTGAGCTACATTACCCATTTCCTTCCATAATTTCACCATATTCCAAGAAACAGTGTTATTCCTTCCTTGTCCATTAAGGCAGGCACACTGAGAGTGCCTTCATCATCCCTACACTCTTTTCTATGTAATGCCAGTAGAAAATTAGGAGTCTAAGTGCCTTGTTGAATTTATGACCTAGTCTCTGCTTAATGTGGGGGAACATTTAATGGTATATTCCCCAAAAGTTCAGGTGTGTTATTCCTTGACATGCCTGCTTTCTGATTCTGCACCTGCTGCATTTATTTCCCTAGGGTTCACTGAGCTGTTACCATCCAATATTCCTGTAGAAAATAGCATATTCTAAAATACATCAAATTTATGCCAGAAATCCATAAATCTGTCTGCTTGCTGAGCATTAATCTATCTCTCTCTCTTTTTAAAACGCAACACATGTAAGTGCTTTTCTATGCCTTTCCATATTCCCTTTCATTTCAGAGTGTGGTCCAACTCAGAAGGCCAGAGCGAGGCATCCCTCCATCCTAAGGACCCTGCAATCCTAGCAGAAACAGAAGATGTGAGTATGAGCAGGGTCATGCAAGCAAAGATTTTTATCAGGGAAGAAATCATAGGCCTATTTATCTCACCCACCATGGCATTATCCTGATGTGGTATCCCATTACAGTAAAGTGCCAGAGGCTATGACATGTCCTTTGTTTTGAAAGCAAGTAACCAACAGTTCTGGCTGGTTTGAGACCCAGGTATAGGTTTTCACCTTTTGTTCTACAAATTCACATGCAAGGAAGTTTGTCATCACAAGTCGATTTTGGATTTTTTCCTGGGACCATGTTTTATCACCATTGCTGAGAGAAGATGCTCAGAGAGAGGGGAGCAATTTATGCAAATTCACATATACGGTCAACATCTAAATCTCCCACCATCTGGGCTGCAAAAGCACCCCTTCTCTCTTTTAGCTAGTGTTATAAATCATTATTGTTCAGCTCTCATTTCCATTTTTCCACCTTGAATTGTCTTACTTTACAGGATATTCCTGGTAAGATTACAAGAAGAAATGCATGCTGACGTTTGTTTGTTTCAGACAGCAGTACTGTGGGGAAGAACACGGGAGGAACTAGTGAACTTGTTGATCACGCAGCCTATCAGTGGCTGGGAAGGGATGAACATCCACTCTCTTGGGGAAATTATTTGGTCCTCCCTGGTTTTTCTGAGAAGTTATTGCATGGAGGTAATCATCCTCTTACTACAACCACTAAGTAATATGCAAGGGATAAAAGGTGGGGGTAAATTTGGATTTCATACATCCTGTCCAAATTACTGTCATATCTCAGTGTTTGACTACAGCTACAATTTGTCCTGACCTTTGTTTTCAAGAGTTAATGCTAATATGTTCAACTTTTTTCACCAGTGCCAATAAAAGCTGAATGGATTTCATAGCCACTTCCTTGAGCATCATGAATCTTTTCATTCATTGCCTGGGGAAACAAAAATGTCCTTTTTGTCAGAAGTTTCTTATATTCTTTTCCCCAAAGAGATAAGGACTGGTTATTATGGTTGCAAATTTGGATGTGTAACAATCGAGTCCTCTCCACAGGTAGTGGAGATGACTGATAAAACTAATACAGTGTGATTGCCATTACCCTGGTTTTGATGAGGTCAGAAGAGGGAACTGACATCTATTCTAGCTTTGTCATGAATTCACGTCTCTTTAACTGCACATCACTGTTCATCTGTCTGTATACACGAGTAAAACCTCCTGGTCTCAAAGGAATGCCATGCTCTGGCTTACTAGCGCTCAGAGAGTGCACATAGACCATTTAAGGAAAGATGATATAAAATTACAAAGTACTGACATAAAGCTTCAGTCAAACTGTGACCTAGTGCAAGACAGTCCAGCAGCTAAACGCTGCATAGTTCCTAGTTACCAACTGGTCCGTAAGCATGACAACCTATCAGCACTATCTGTACATAAAGATGCCCTAAGTACTGTATCAGCAGAAAGGAAGGTAGGGTGAAGAGCTTTGAAGAAATACAATTTCCTTTTAAAAAAAAAAAAAAAATTGGAAACATTTTGGAGGGAAGATATAATTGATCTTATTTCAACAGGAGATGTGTGAATGCTACGTTGTGCTGTCCTCCTCCCACTTGCTGATTCTTTCAGTGGATCGTACAAAAAAGGCATTTGTTTATGAGGTAAAGCACAAGAATCTTTTTGTGTCTGTTGTATCCGTGCTCATAGTCAAGGTTTCTTAAATATCTCTTTGCTCATAGCTCTAGCAGGTAGAAAACTTTGTAGCTACAGAGTAGTAGTTAGAGAGGTCCTTGATCTATACAACATTGAAGTTGATAAAAATCTAGGTCCTGCCATCGGTTAAGACTGGTGTTGTAAGAGGACACAGACGAGAAATCATCAGTTTACGAAATACAGGATCCAAAATGCAAACTAGGGCCTCTTTGTCCTGAACATGAGTGTAGTCTTCTAGCATGGTTTGGGGCATGGGGCAGGAATTAAAGAGGGGGAGGCTGCAAGGCAGATGAAATTCCATCTAGTTCATACAAAGAACTTTTCAACACCAGCCTTGGTCTGTGGGTGGATCTCCCCCCTATACCTCAGAGCACTTTATGAAGGAGGACAGTCATTTTACAGGTAGGGAAACATGAATAAACCCCCGATTTCCTATGTCTTCAGACAATGAGGTGAATGTCATCCCACACAGACTTCCTTAAAGTCAAATGTTCGAAGGATGGGACAACTTTGGTTTTTGCAAAAAGCATTCTGCTATACATCAGGGGGACCGCAGTGGGACACAGAGAAGCTGTTGTTACCAAGGAATTTCTAACACAATTCCCTACCATACCAGGGTCTCCTTCCTCTTGTTGGGATGCATCTGAGAAAGATTGCAAGTGGAATCAGCCACACATTTGAAATTTCTGGTAAGCCTGTTCTGCAGTTCGTGAAGGGGCCTGTGATAGTCACAAAGCAGTGATACCCACGCTCCTGCCTTCAAGGACTGGCCTAGGTGGCTAGAAGATGAGAGGGGTTATGCAGCCATGCAGAGGGCTACTGAAGAAGGGGCATGCCTCCTCTCCAACACTCAGCCATGCTGGAGAATATGCCATGCCTTTCTGGACTGGACTTTCACAGGCAGCTTACGCTATGGCTGCATAGAAGGATGAGACCTAGCTAGATGGAAGGAATTCGGAATCTTAGTTTTCACAGGTGGACGCAACTGCTGCGCAGCCTTAAATCAAGAATGCCTTAGGGTTAACTAGAATTCCTCACATGCAAGGCAATATAAATTATAGGTTCCCCTTTCCTCTAATTTTCTACTTACACTAAACATGAGGGAAATGCTGATGTCTGCATGTGGAACAAGGAAGCTACCTAATTGTCCCAGTGCCAACCCAGTATCTGCCATCAAGAAC